TTTTTTTTTTTTTTTTTTTTTTTTATTTTTTTGAGAGAGAGATTGACAGACAGTGTGAGCAGGGGAGAGGCAGAGACAGAGAGAGAGGAAGACACAGAATCTGAAGCAGGCTCCAGGCTCCAAGCTGTCGGCACAGAGCCCGACGTGGGGCTCGAACCCATGAACTGTGAGATCATGACCTGAGCTGAAGTCAGACGCTCAACCGACTGAGCCACCCAGGCACCCCACATGGCTTACCTCCTTAAACGTTTGCTCATAAATGACCTTCATGATGTCTGCTCTGATGATCCTCTAGAATTTTAACCCTGCCTCCTGAATTTTTGTTCTGCTTCATACTTTATTTTTTCCCTTTTCTATAGAATCTACCAACTTCTTACACGTTCCATACTTCAGTTATTTATTATATTTGTTGTTAATTTCTTCCAGCTAGAATGCAGACTCCAGGAGGATAGGGATTCTTTCTGTGTTGTACATTGACATTTTCCAACTAACTGCTTAGCTTAGTGCCTGGCACAGAGTAGGTGATTAATAAATATTTGAGAAAGGGTAATGAATTCATTGTGTGTGTTGCATTTGTTTCATAAGCTTGTATGGTATTGGATTTTGCTGTTTTCTTATGCTTTGTCTTGTAACAGCAGGATATGTGTTAAGAGCAGTTACCAAGCCAACCGTGCTTGGAAGAACATTAAGCTGTAGAGTATTGTTTAAGTAGGAGTCTCTCTCACTTACTGGTGATTCATCAGTGTGCTGTGTTTAGTTCAGATCTGTTGAACCTTGATAACTTCTCCCTCGCTGGCAGTAGTGCCGTCCCCAAAGGTTGAGTTTGGCCTGAGCAGAAGCTTGCTTTGTTTTCTCCCAGTTATATTTCCATGTATAATGGATTATTCCAATGTTATATCTTCTGAGTGAATATTTAGAAGACCTGTTAATGTTAGTGGACTGGGTAATGTTAAAGGACTAGAATCATGAAATTTTAGCTTTCTGTAATTTTTTTTAATAAACAACAATATTTTTTAGTTGAAGTATAGTTGATACACACTATTACGTTACTTTCCGCTGTACAGCACAGTGATTGGACAACTCTGTAAGTTATGCTGTGCTCACCACAAGTGCAGCTACCGTCTGTCACCATATAATGCAGTTACAATACCACTGATCTATCCCTATGCTCTACCTTTCATCTCTGTGACTTACTCATTGCATAACTGGAAGCCTGTACCTCCCATTCCCCTTCACCCGTTTTGCCCACCCCTTCCCTCATCCCCAAGATTTCTTCAGTATTAATGTAATGCTGTTGTGTTTATTATTCATATTTCATTATGAGTGTGGTTTATTGACCCCAAGTATCGATTAGTACCACCTATTAGTTTTATAACCTGGAACCAGTGACTCAATCTCTTTAGGCCTATTTGTACATCTCTGTCATCATACCACCCACCCCAGAAGGTTATTGTCAATATCGAATGGGATAATCAAAGCAAATGTTTTAGTTCCATAGTTAGTTTTCAAGAATATTATTTCAATGTTGACACTGTTGCTGCTGATAGTAGCTGCTAATAGTAAAACATCTCATAGAGGCTTTTGCTATTAAAATAGATAGTGGCTAGGTAGATCCTACTTCCTTTGATCTGGTTATAGGAATCCTGATTAATCAGGAAGTAGCTCTCAAGAAGCACCTGTATATACAGCTCTGTACAAGTCAGTTATGTTTCGACCTAAGGCCCAGAGCATGGTGACTACAGATGTATTGATTAATATTTATAGATTGTAAGTAATGATACCAAACACCTGCACAAGGTTGAGAAAGATTTGTTTTAGGCTAGATCAATAATCTTTGTATTTTGATTTATTTATTTTCATAGCTTATAGTCATCTTTTTTATGAGATTAACATTATTTATATTTCTGCTGATAGTTCCTCATTTTTTTAATGTTTTTCTTGGGTCCATGCTAAAATTTTTCTATATAGGTGGTATACATACGTATGTACTGGTAGGTATATACCTATAAGTCAGATTGCCTACTATGCGTTGCACACTTATTTTACTACGTATTGTCAACTGTTTACAAAAGACATTGTTACAGTGTACGCACCCGTTAGCAATATATGGGGTTCCAGGTGCCTTACATTCTTACCAGTACAATTGACCCTTAAACAACATGAGTTTGAACTGCATGGGTTTGAATCCACTTATATACAGAGTTTTTATAGTACAGTATTATAAATGTATTTTCTCTTTATTATGATTTTCTTGATAACACTTTCTTTTCTCTAGCTTACTTTAAGAATATGGTATATAATTCATATAAAATATAAAATGTATTAATTGTTTATGTAATTGGTACGGTTTCTGATCAACAGTAGATTGTTAGTAGTTAAGTTTTGGGGAAGACAAAGGTTACAGTCAGATTTCCAGCTGTGCAGGGGTTTAGCATCCCTAACCCCTACGTTGTTCAAGGGTCAACTATATTTTGCATTATTAGATTTTTAGGTTTTTGACACAGTGTCATGTTAATGGTTTTAATTTTTATTTTTCTGATCAGACTAGGTATCTTTTCATATATTTATAAGTCATTCATGTTTTCTCTTTAAATTACCTATTCTTGTCTTTAGCCCATTTTGTATTGAGTTGCCCTTTTTCTTATTTAGTTGTGGAAGTTATTTCTATGTTCTGAATGCTAATCTTAACTTTTGGGAAGCAAATACTAAGATTTGGAATTTCCTCTTGTGGATATTGAGGGTTTTTTTAGTTGTTTCTCTGCCTAGTTATACAGTTAGGACTCCACAAGAGGGCGTCATCAAAGTTTTAAATTTGTCAAGATTTCTTCTCCTGGTGATTACTTAAAATTATACTATATATTAAAGTTAAGTTAGAAACCATTTAGTGTGAATCTCTTTTTGTAATAAAAACTGAGGCCTGTGCATATAAAGCATTAAAGACAGGACTGGAAATAGAATGAACCAGTCTAGTGTTTTGCTGTAAAGGAAATCACGAAGAACTTGCCTTAGAAGTGACAAGATTGTAGAGCTTGCACTTACGTACTTATTTCCTCAACAGGAGGAATAAATTGGTAGATAATATGGAAAGTTGAGTTCTGAGAGGAATATAGACCAACCAAGTAACAAATGGAAAGACTTACTAAACCATATAGAGTACAGACTTATGTGACGACTATTTTTGTCTCAGTTCACGGAGAGAATTTCTTAAAATTAAAGCTGATCAAAATGAGCTAAGTTATCTCATGAATTTGTGAACTTCCTATTCACTGGTAGTATTCATGTAGATTATGAATGACCACTAAACTAAGAATCATAGAACTCAGGACTGAGATGTATCTAGCAGTTGTCTCTACCCATTTTTTTAATAGGTGAGGAAACAGGTCTGGATGTTCTGGCCAAGGTAGTTTGTGACTGAAGTAGGACTAGAATCTAGGTCAGAGTGACTTTAGCTTATCACATTTGTTGCCTGAGAGTGGAAGTGAAGTTAAAGGAGGTTCAAGAGAGGATTCCTGCATTAGGAAGGAAGAACCTTTCAGATATTTTTCTGCTTCTGCTTCTGGCTTTTCTGATTTCAGTTGTAGTTCAGTCCCATCTTGGTTTCTCCAGCACATTAAGATTAATTTTATAGCATTTATGACAAATGCTGTACCATTTATTAACATGACATTCTTCAGGGTATTGACTGTGTCCTATTCATCTCTGTTCCTAACTCCTGGCCCAGAGTAGGTACTCAGTAAATATTGACTGTGTGAATGGATGCCTACTTGGGAGATTCTGAGAGTAAGAACAGGTATTTAAAAGAAGAGAACCATGAAATAGAATAAGGTTTTATCTGAAAGTAATTGCCGATCAGTTGCCATTGAAACTTGGGCATCATAGCCTAATAATTAATACCTTGAGTCTCATCCCATTGCCACCATTTAGAAAATGTGAGCTTGGGAAACTTAAATTCTTTATGCTTCAGTTTACTTATCTGTAAAATGAAGTTAACGTGTGTGTGTGGGGGGGGGGTGGTTGTGTGTATCATGCAGAAAGTGCCTCTCACCTAGAACCAGTGTGTTTATGTCAGTTCTTCTTATTTTTTGCTAGTAATATTAGTATTTGGGGTAGTGACATCTTGGTTTACTGATTTTTTTTTTTTTTTTTGGTAAGGGTGGGTTCATTTTATTCCTAAATATAATTAGCACCAGAAGGAAAATATTGGAGTTTATCTAGGGTTTAGCTATAAATAAGGGTATATTTTTAAAATTATCTTTATAAAATTAGAAGAACCAAGCTTGGATAATCTGAAATTACCTCTAGATAACAGTCCTGAGGTAACACAGTCTCTGCATATCTTGTAATGTAAATCTGAGGAAAATAATTTTGGGGAGCTTCCACATTTCCATTTAGAATTAGGTAATTATGAGGCTTTTGGGGAAGGATTGTGCCTAGGAGATACTTAAATTTGGTAACATTTCTGTTAGTGGTGTGCATTTATAAAAATGCCCACGTGTATATTTTGTAACCAACAAGGTGTATCTTTTAAGTAAACTATAGAGTTGACAATTTTTTGTGTTTTTGTCAAGGTCTTGAGATTTGATGGCAAAATAGAGGATTTTTTTTAACTGAAATGAAATGAGACAAAAATAGATTTTTCTTTTATTTGGTGTAGATACTATCTTGTTCTTTATGAAGGCAAAGCTGTTTTTTGTTTTTTGTTTTTTTCCTAGTAGAAGTCATTTAAAGAATAGGAAGTGTATTTTCAAACACGGAAAGCTAGACTCAGTGCTGTTACCATGTCAAAGGAAGCAGTGAATGATGGAAGCAACAGTTTAGGCAGCCAGTGGAAATGGCATAGACAGTGGAAATCTCTGAACTGAAACTTGAAAAGTGAGCATGAATTTACATGCTGACTCAACTTGGAAGAAGAGTATGTTTGTATTTTCAGATGTGATTACACAGAAAAATGAGAGGCAGGAGGGAGGAAATACTGTAAATTTGTCTTAATATGATGGTTAAGGTTTTACTGGCATGTTGGCATGGAGCTTGTGTAGTTTCTGAAAATGTTTCCTTTGGATTACGACTGCAAAACTTTGATCATGTGGAAAAATTGAGATACATTTTAATGAGTATTAACCTATATTTTTGCCTCACTTCTCCCTTTTTTTTTAGACTTGGGAAGATCCCTGTCGAAAGGATAATAGTACAGACTGCTGTGGAGATAATGACCCTATTGATGTTTGTGAAATAGGCTCAAAGGTTTGTTTTCTAGACAATGCTGTTCTAATATATGTTCTAGTTTATTCATGCTATAGAATTTCAGTTCTCTTTAGTTCGTCAGCTCTTCTAAGTTCTAGCCTATTGATCCCTCTGATACGAGTCCCTTTTTGTATCTTTATTTCTTTCTCTTACACTAGGGGTTGGTCAACTGCAGCCATGGCAAGTCAAATATAGGGCACCACCTGTTTTTATTAGTAACACATTATGCCCATTCACTTACGTATTGTGTGTGGCTGCTTTTGCACCAAAGTTGGGGAGTGGTAGCAGAGATCGTGCCATCCACAGAGTCTAAAAATAACGACTATCTGAGTTTTTACAGAAAATGTTTGCTGAGTCTTGTCTTTAGTTTCCTTACCATTATCCAGACAGGAAATGTATTACTGAGTAAAGCCAGCTGGTACTCTTGTTTTTGTGTCTGCTTCCAGGTTGCCAAGACCTACTGAAGGAGAATAAAACCTACAGTTTCATAGGTTGCTGCTACTTCTAGAATTCTGTGCGTTTTGGGTCTATTCTTCTATCACATTTCTTGCTAATATTTGTTGTTCTCTGCAGACATTCAACGGCTTGCACTTCGTTCTCACTTAAAGGCAGAACATTTTGTCTTTAAATTTTGTAGAGCCCCTAGAAACCAGCAGATAAGAGCTCCCTTACCCTTCTTAGACAGCCAAACTACCTGGGTCCACACACATTATTTCTTCCCTTTCTTCTCTTACTGTGAGAACTGTCTTTCTTATGTGAGACCTGGGCTTCTACCTGTGCTCTAGATCCTGCCCCTTCCTGCCTCTTGAGTGACAGTTTTCTTATCGCTTCTCTGTTCTGTATTCACAACTTCTCTTTCTTTGTTGGCTTCTTCCCCCTCACATGAAGACTCACAAAAAGAGTTTTCAACACTCATCTTCATCTGCTACTTTCCACTTAATCTTTAGCCTGCTTCAGAATTGTTTCCATCCCCCATTATTTCTGTGAAACTACTCTCACAAAGGTCCCTGCTAACTTTCTTTTAGCCAAATCTAGCAGGCCTGTTTCATAGGTTTTGTCTATCTTGAATTTCCCTTAGCATTTTATACTGTTAACTTTGTCTTTCTTCTTGAAACAGCCTCCTCACTGGACTTTGTGTCATAACATCTTGGTTGTGCTCTAATTCTGTTTTCTTCTTGATTTCTTTTTCAAGCTCCTTAATTCTTAGGTATTGGTTGGCCTGAGGGTCATGCCTTTGTCCAGCTCTTTTCCTTTAATTGGATCTACCTTTATTTTCCTTCCAAGGGAACAGAATCTTTGTTTTTGCCTGGTTTTGTTTTTATCTTTGACCCAAATTCCTTCAACATTTAGGACTTTGTTTTTCCTTTGGTAATATTTATTGTTCAAGAAAATTGTAGTTATGTTAATGGAAATGAAATCAAGCATAAACCTTCCCTCACAATCCTGCTGTCCCAATAATTCATTTTGTTTTTTATCTTTTCCATGTTTTCTTCCTCTTGGGATAAACATATAAACATTTTGATTTTGTTAGACATTTTTTCCAGTTTATTTTCTGTTATACAGTTAATAAAGTTAAAGGCTTTCCTGAATATAGCTTTTCCTTTTTTCATTTCTTTTGGGACAACTGGATATGGGGGGCAGGGTTTTTAGACTGGCCTCTCAAAGCTGTCTGCCCTAATCCCTAGAATCTGTGAATATGGTAATATAGCACTCCCCTGATAATATTATTTTATATAGCACAGTTTACTTTCAAGTAGGATTATCCTGGATTTCCCGTGCAGACCCAGTGTAATTAAATGAGCCCTTAAAAATAAGGAGCTTTCTCTTACTGGTGGGAGAAGAACTCAGAGGTTCAAAGTGTGAGAAGTACTGATGTGCCATTGCTGGTTTGAACATGGAGAAGGGGGCACATGAAAAAGAATGCAGTTGGCTTCTAGTTGCAGTGAGTGGTCCCTAGTTGACATCCAACAAGTTAATGGGGTCCTCATTTGTACAACTACAAGGAACCAACTTTATGTGGATTCAGTTTTAGAACCTTCAGATCAGAGCTCAGCCTGTGCAGCACCTTGATTTCGTCTTTGTCAGTCAGTAAGCAGAGAATCTAGCCATGTTGTGCTTGGACTTCTAACTCATGAATACTGTGAGATAATACATTTAAACTGTTTTAAACCTTTAGGTTTGTCGTAATTCATTATACTACAGTAGAAACACAGGATAACAGGCTTTAAGCCGTTTTACTTGCCATGGTTTTCTTGTATTGATTGGGTCCAGCTGAAGTTTTACCTCCTTCAAATTTGGAATCAGCACAGAACTTTTGTGGTAGACCACTGTTATATCCTGCTCATACCAGGCCCTTGAGAAGTTAGCAGTTGACAAGTGTGAGCTGATAAATACAGGTAGAGCCCAGAGAGAAAAAATATTATCTGTAGAAGACTCTTACATTCTAGTTCATGAATGTGTTATATCTTTTGCTCTTTACTTCAAGGAATAAGTGATAGGATCTCCATTTCACTGTTGAGAAACCAAGTCCTAAAACATTATGGGAAGTAATTTGCCAAACACTTTTACGAATGATGGAGAAGGAATTCAGCTTCATAGTATTTATGACTTAAAAATCCTATGTTTTGAAATCTTTCCATAAGAGCTAGAAAGGTTGATAATAATTCCCATCTGATTCTTCCTAAAAGCTTTGTGGCACACCTACATTGTTTGAGAATCTCAACTCATTTTTCAAGAATGAACTACAAGAACTGCAAGAATTAGTAACAGGCTCTTCTGGAGCCATTGATTTCCTTGGAAGGGTAGACTGATAGTTTTATAATGGAACTGGGAAAATAGGTTTTATCTTACAGCCGGTGCAGTGTATTCCTTTAGTTAATGAGACCTGAAACAATAGTAAATATGAAGTAAGTGTTAATCACCATCTAAAGAATAGGTCTTGGGGCATCTGGGTGGCTCAGTCAGTTACACATCTGACTCTTGATTTTGGCTCAGGTCCTGATCTCATGGTTTGTGAGTTCAAACCCTGCATCAGGCTCTGCACTGACAGCATGCAGCCTGCTTAGAATTCTCTCTATCCCTCTCTTTCTGCCCCTCCCCACTCATGCTGTTTCTCCCTCTCTCAAAATAAATAAATAAACACTTACAAAAAATGAAGACTAAGTCTATGTTGGTATGGTGCTCCTTTCTTTTGTGTCTGGGTATGCAAAGAGTCCTTAAATCATCTGTAAGGAACATCATAGTGGAAAGCATATTTGAACACCACACTGTAAATGGACAAAAGGGAAGGGAGCAGAGTCCTGGAAGTTGATAATAGAGTTAGAGCCACAGGATACAGAAAATTTTAAGGCTGTTGCAGTTCCTTGAGAGATCATGTATTATTCATTTGGTGTCTAACACTACTGCATAAATTTGTTGAATTGATTTAGAATGAATTGAGTTATGGAGGATTCATAAGAGTTTTACCATTTGTTCTTAAATATCTTATTCTCAGTTTTTGGTTTGATTGACAGTTTCCTTTCTAGTCTTTAAAGGTATTATAGCAAGGCAGTGGTTTGTCCAATCCCTTTCTGTTGCTTATGAGATTAGAGAGCATGTATCATTCTGATGAAACTTGATAATCCCAAGACATGTTTCCTGTTTGCTGGTGTAATCAGAAACATCTCAGATCTGCTCTTACATTATATGAAATTTCAAAGTAGATTAATTTTTGTGAATAAAAATAAAACCGTTTACAATGTGCTATCTTTAAATTTTTTTCCTAATCAATCAAGCTTATTTTCTTTCTTTCTTTCTTTCTTTCTTTCTTTCTTTCTTTCTTTCTTTCTTTCTTTCTTTCTTTCTTTCTTTCTTCTTCTTCTTCTTCTTCTTCTTCTTCTTCTTCTTCTTCTTCTTTTTCTTTCCTTCCTTCCTTCCTTCCTTCCTTCCTTCCTTCCTTCCTTCCTTCCTCTCTTTCTTTCTCTCTTTCTTTCTCTCTTTCTTTCTCTCTTTCTTTCTTAGAATTTATTGCCAAGTTAGCTAACATACAGTGTATACACTGTGCTCTTGGTTTTGGGGGTAGATTCCTGTGATTCATCATTTATATACAACACCCAGTGCTCATCCCAACAAGTGCCCTTCTCAATGTCCATCACCCATTTTCCCCTTCCCCCTTACACATCCCCCATCAACCCTCAGTTTGTTCTCTGTATTTAAGAGTCATTTATGGTTTGCCTTCCTCTCTGTTTGAAATTATTTTTTCCCCTTCCCTTCCCCCATGGTTTTCTGTTAAGTTTCTCAAATCCCACATAAGAGTGAAAACATACGCTATCTGTCTTTTCTCTGATTGACTTATTTCACTTAACATAATACCCTCCAGTTCCATCCACATTGTTGTGAATGGCAAGATTTCATTCTTTCTCATTGCCGAGTAGTATTCCATTGTATATATAAAACCACATCTTCATTATCCATTCATCAGTCAATGGACATTTGGGCTCTTTCCATAATTTGGCTATTGTTGATGGCGCTGCTATAAACATTTGGGGTACATGTGCCCCTATGAATCAGCATTCCTGTATCCTTTGGGTAAATTCGAAGTAGTGCTGTTACTGCGTCGTAGGGTAATTCTATTTTTTATTTTTTGAGGAACATCCACACTTTTCCAAAGTGGCTGTACCAGTTTCCATTCCCACCAACAATGCAAGAGGGTTCCCATTTCTCCACATCCTCGCCAACATCTGTTGTTTCCTGAGTTGTTACTTTTAACCATTCTGACCTGTGTGGGGTGGTATCTCAGTGTGGTTTTGATTTGTATTTCCCTGATGATGAGTGATGTTGAGCATTTTTTCATGTGTCTGTTGGCCATCTGGATGTCTTCTTTGGAAAAGCGTCTATTCAGGTCTTCTGCCCATTTCTTTACTAGATTATTGGTTTTTCCGGTGTTGAGTTTGGTAAATTCTTTATAGATTTTGGATACTAACCCTTTATCTGATATGTCATTTGTAAATATCTTTTCCTAT